GTGGAATCGCTCAAAGTCTCTCGAGACTTTCGCCTCTCTTAATCGTCCGGTTTCCCATTAGACTCGCAAAGTTCGACTTCCTTTCCGGAGCGAATTAAATTTACGGGAATTTGACGGTAATACTGCCGGAACCATATTTCGAGGAAGTGTAATTTCACGGGATACGGCCGCGTGTACGATCTTTCTTTCTTTCAAGAGGGCATTAGCGGAAAATTGCTCGCTGCGAAGCGAACCGGCAGAAGTGCAGCTTCTCCATAAACTAAGAAAGCACCGTCTCGGATTTTCTAGTCGATCTATTTATCGCCGTGGCCTAGATCTCCTCTTTAATTCTTAAGCACGACCGGTCGACGCGGTCGTGCGTCGGTGAATGCATTATGCAGTCCGAGTTGCACTAGGCGCGCGCCATTTGCTTTTTTTCCCCTCTCTTTTTCACGCTCCCGCGTTAATACGAGCTTTCAGCGTTATTCTTCCTTCTTTTTCCCTTTTCCTAACTATTTTCCCCCTTTTTCTCTTCGCGCGGGGACAATGAAATATTTTTGTCCGCGACACGCAGCGCGCAAATGTTTGCGGTACGCTGCCAGCTCGCGAGATATCGGCGGGGAAATATATTTTCGAAAATTTATTTTTATGTCCGTGGTACTTCAACCGGAACCGTTCCTTTGTCACTCGTGAAATTCCTGTGGAAATATGTATTTTTCAAATTGACGCGATAAACTGGCTCTTCATTCTGATCGTTTCGACGTTTCGGAAAGACGATTTTCTCTGTCCTATGTATGGCAGCTTCGCGAGAGTTTCCCGTCTGATTCCCCTGGAAAAATTCCATTTCTCATTCACCCCGGGGAGTCGGCGCGAATTTTTCCTCGCAGAGCTTTCCGAAATTATACGCCGGGTTAAAAAATACAGAAGGATGCGCTTCTATATCGAATGTAGAGGCCGGCTGACTAAAGGCAAACTCGTGTCACTAATAGCGTTTCAGCTGTTTCGTTTTCACGCCACCGCCAGTGTATAATTTATTTTCCCGTAAGTCCTTTTAATTTCTCTGTTTTAATCAAATTCTATACGAAGCGGTTTTTAAATTTTAATTATGCGACAAATTTATAAAAGTTCGCGATGATTACATTTAAAATTGCTGTTCCGATTTTCCTCTCGGGTTTCGATAAATTCTATCGCGAATTTCGATAAACGCCCGTTTATTTACGCGATTTACTCCGCGAAACATTGAAACGGCATACGATGGACTAAATAATTGCGCGACAGTGAAACAACGCCGGTATCGCGCCAGTAGTATAAGTCCGCGCTCGGTCAGACGCGTGTCTTTTAAGCGATATTTTCGCCTCGATCTTCGCTCGAAATCGACTCGCGAATTATACTATTCTAAGTTGCTCTAATTAACCACTCTTGCGCGTGTTTCTCCCTTTCGTGCATTACAAGTAACAGCGAAAAAGTAAACCGGAAGCGAAGCACGCGGTGACTCGTTACGAACTTTAGAATCGACGCATCGAGCCACGTTCGATCCACGGTTTTCCCGAATCGAGAGGTCGAAACAACCGAAATAAAAGCGGAAATGGGAGACGAAAAAGGCGTGTAGAATGCAAGATAAAAGAATAGACAGAGAGAGATGATAATTGCGCAGGTGTACGAACGGAAATCAATCGCGCCACGACGAGGGAAATCAACGACCCCTCGGGAATAAATAACGCGTCAACAACGTTGCTTCATAGACATTTTCACGAGCACCGATGCTGACCATCGACGTTGCGACGCCAGGTGAAGGTCGTTAATTTTTTACGGTCGCGAAAACACGAACGCAAACGAGGTCGAATCGAATCGCTGGCAAGTTCCTTTTTTCCTTTATTTAAATATTTTTCCACCACTGCCGATTTTTCTCCGGCATCGACCGCGCGTTTCTTATAATTATTATATTTTCTTCCTTTTTCTTTCATTCACGTGCGTGTCTTTTCGTCCCCGATCGGGAATAACGCCGCGAGAGTGAAACTTAATCGGAGTTCTCGATTTAAAAATTAACGCGAAATCGTAAATTTCTGAACACCGGTTCGATAGATATATTTTTTGGTCGATAGCCATCGAGGAACATTATTTTTGGATAAACCCGGGAGATCGCCGTGCTTGTCGAATCTTTGCACGCGAATATTTCGGAAATTGAACGAGAAATAGAAGAAAAATAGAGGGAAAAAGACCACGAGTATACACTATACAGACTTTGTCTTGGAAAATATTTCAAAATCTCACGATATTTTTCATCCCCCAATTTCGTAAATTAATTATATTAACGTCTCCAACTACTTCGATAACAACCCCTCAAAATTAGAATATTATTCTAATATTATTCTCGTAGGAAATGAAAGAAAAAAAAATAAAAATTCTCTTCAATGGTAATTTTTCTTCCTTGCCATAATAATCCGAGAATAAAGTTCTCGGATTTAAATAGGAATCGCGATCGATAGTAATTTAAATCCGAGAATTAATAATCGCTGTAAAGAGATCGTTACGTATAGTAATAAAGCAGGCATGCTACGTATATCACCGTGGATAGCAGTTCACGGGATGCCATGAGCCCACGCTGGAGCCATATTTCGTTATAAAATACCCCTCGATAGCGTGGAAGACAGAAGACGCCATAATTACAGAGGGCTGGAGGGTGGAAACGAGGCCGGGGGCAAGAATTTTTTTTCGCGTCTTCCCTTAGTCGGCTTGCTCTTTTTATCATTCCCGGTAACATCACGGGCCCTGCCGTTAATGGGAATTCGTGATTTTCAACTCGATGCGGCTCCATCGCCGTTCCTCAATGGGGATGGAAAAGAAGAGGAGAGAGTGCAACTCTCACGGCAAGCAACCGGAGGTGCAATTAACGTCGACGCGCACCGAACGAGATTTATTAGCCCTTCTGGTATAATTGCTTCCAAGAATGTCAATGTTTTCTCCGTCCCTTCTCCGCCTTTTTTCCCGGCGCAATTACGTCTAACGAAAGCAATTATCGAATTTCGTTAGCGTCCCCGCGCAAACGCCCCGCGAATTTATGCTATTCTGCGAAGCGATTGATTGCCAATAAAATTTTCTGTATCTCTATAAAAAAATTTCCCTATTTATTTTCTTCCGTTCGATTAAATTGAGAAATAATAAAAATATTCTGCACTTTTCTACGAGTCTTTATTTTCATTTAAATTCTTTTCAACCTTATTATCATAATATATATCGATATATCAATATCGCACCGATGTTTCACGTATTAATGTACCCAGAAGTTCAGTTGACAGTCAAGAATTCTTCTATGGAATCGAATTGAATTGTAATTTAAATTGACGCGTCTTAAAATCATATTTGCTTAAAAAATTGCGATCCTCGTGATTTTTATTTCTCGTGGTCTTTTATTTTTTAAAAAATGATTCTTCGATTTTTAAAAAAGGAGACCAGGTTGTTCGAAGAGACGTATCGACATACCGCGGCGTCTGTGGGTCGTAGGGAATCCAGCGGAGCCCTCGTAAAGCAGAGATAATCGAAACGCTGAGGGTAATTAGGTAATTAGTTTCCGGTAACAGGAACATCCGAGCCACGTTTATGTACATAAAATAGAGGATTCACATCTAACTCGGTGTTCCCGTGCAGAGACATTACCGTCAGAGATCTCGCTATCGGTACCGCGCACACCGAATTAAAGTAACGAGGTACTTTTGTCGTTATTAGCGTATGTCGAAATTCACGGCCATAATTGAAATCCTCGTCTATCGGCGCAATTTCGTATCCACGCTTCGTAAGAAACTCTCATAAATATGAATTTCAAACGATATTTTATTTACCATTCAAACAACGTTTCTCCTCGTACGCGTATAACGAGAATATATTTCCTCTGCATACATAAACATGAACGTTAAACATTATTTATTTACTTTCAACTTGAACAACAAGTGTTTCCTCATCCCGGCAGGGCAAATATTTTCTCCAAATAATTACGAATTTCAAGGAATATTTTAGTTGTAACCTAAACAACGTTCTCCCCTATTTCCGTATTAAGAGAAAATATTTTCTTTAGGTAAGTATGAACATTAAATGTTATTTTATTTACAACCGAGGTATTTTCCCTTATTTCCATGAAACAAATATTTTCCCCGCATCGATAAATATGAATACAAAACGATATTTTATTCTTAACCTAAACAACGTGTCCTTTTATTCATATAGGACCAAATACGTACATATCCAAGATTTTATTTACTATTTAAGCAATATTTCTCCCTCATTTCCATGGACCAAATATTTCTATATAAACATTCTATATAAGTACGAATATAAAAGGAATATTTTATTTACGCGTTAAACGATATTTCATCTTATCACTGTGTCACGAAATATTCCCTGTGTCTCCCAAATTATTACCATAGCCGTATTTTCATATCTTAACCAAGAATCCAAAAATATTCTAAAATGCTCTTATCTGATCTTTATTTCAAAAGGAGTGCATAGTATATTATATCAAACACAACAAGTCAATTCATAACTCAAGAGTTTAGAGTCTATGATATAATTAGTCTTTATTTGATGGGAATGCTGCAGTTTCAAAGGCGTTATATGTATATATTTATATTTATATTATATAAAAACTGGGCATGGTAAAATATGTTAAATCTCTTGTTTTGTTTTAAGAGTTACTACTTATGGTAATCCTTACTAAAAGTCACGATACGTCCTACTAACCATCTAGTCCATTTATTCTTTCTCCAGCAAACTTCCAGGACATTCTACAGTTTATTTATACTAACTCTACCTACGTTTAGAACTGTCAAATTACAAAGAACTGAAGTCGATCAAAAATCTTTTTTCTGTAAGAAACAAATTTTCAACTATACGGTATCAATTTCCTAACTTGATCGCACTCTGCAAAAATTCTCGAAATTTAATCAATTCTTCGAATTCGATAAAATCGCGAATCTCTTGCTCCGCTAATCGTGTCCTCCATTTTTTGATGTCTCTAATGTCTGTCGCAGAATTTGAACAACCAATTCTTGGATCCCGTGGAAGTGTTCCGAGGCATTCCGTACGCGGCACCTCCCGTAGGAGATTTACGTTTTCGACCACCGATCTCGCCGATCCCCTGGGACGGTATCAAGCTGGCGGATTCCTTCGGCGCCGTTTGCCCGCAGCACTTTCCGGACATCAGCAATGACACAGCTGCTTTGTTGCAAATGCCCAGGAGCAGATACCAACAGCTGAAACGTTTGTACATGTTCCTGACCAACCAGAGCGAGGACTGCCTGTTTTTGAACCTGTACATACACGGCAGTGGTAAGCGTGACTGCATTACGTATTGCCTGTTCGCTCTCTTTTCTCTTGTTTTCTCACCCAACGAGGCATTTCGTGTTAAAAAATTCAGTCAAATTTTCACCGACGAAAAAATAACTGTCGCCTTTGTTTTTAGAAATGCATAAAAGGTAGAAAAATCAAACTAGAAGGTCTGTTCTGTGGGTCTAAAACAGGGTTCCCCAAGGATCGTATGGACCATTAAAGGGACCAGCATCGAATTTTTGGGACGATGTTAAAAAATTCACGCGTGTCGTTTATAAATCCAAATTTTTGGAGAATATGAAGAAAAAGAGTTTACTTCTTAGCTCTTTGCGGCACAGGATTTTAGATAATAAAATAGACCCAAGTTGCATAGAAATTTTATCGCGTTTTAAATGAAACAACATTGGCATGGAACTAATTTTTATATAAATTAACTTACTTTTATGATTTTTCACATAAAACCAGGAAATACATTTATAACATTTGTTGAAAGTTTCACCAACTGCTTTACGTAAATAAGACGAAATATGAACCTATGAGCTGTTATAATATTTCGAGGTGGAACCAGAAATGTCCTACCATGCATTACGGAGCATCAAAATGGTGTGACAGTTTTAATTCCAGCTTACCCCAAAGAGTCAAATTATAATATTTGTTCCATCGAATCCGGGGGTAAGGTGAAAAGTGCGGCCATTTTCCAGCAGCGAGAAACAAATCGCGAGAATGCTTGTTATTGCAAACAAAGGATAACAGCGTTTCTTCCTCGCTTGTAAATCTCGCCTGCCTTTTCTTTCGGGTCACCGTGTAATTAACAAACTTAAATGCAAGGTTCGCGTGGAAACACAGGGTGCAAAAGTCACGAGCCGTTGACGTAACGCAAATGGGGACGAATAAAAGAGAAGCGGCGAATATATGTCGCGTATTAAGTATCTAATTAAACTGCGCGAATCTCGCCTTTATATTCGCAAGATTCCCGGTGTAATGCTCGCAATTAATTAGCACGCGTTAGTAACACGCGGCCAGGAAATTTTGAGCCCGCCACCTATCGTCTGTTTATGGAACAGTACGGTATTACGAAACAAGTTACTTCCCGAAGTAATTAGTTCCGAAGTAATTAGTACCTTTATGCCGGGTATTATCGCGAAAGTAAGAGCCCGGGCTCGTATATCATTCGATGAACGTCGTAGTCGAATTTACCGAGGCTGGACGTGGTTAAAAACTCACCCTAATGCCGGCAACTTCGCCGAACTTCGTTTTTAGATTTAGCCCGCGAACGGAGGCTGTTCCGTGTTTATAAATTATTCGATAACAAGGGAAAAAATGGCGGTGGCGAAAGGGGGTGAAATTACGCGTGAACACGGAAGACGGGCGAGCGCGACGGAAAGTTGAGATTGGAATTGAAAGTTCGTTTCTCGCGGTCTTCCGGAGTTTGATGAGCCAGAAAGATATACATTTATCACGCGACAACGTGTTCCGAATACAGGCAACGAGCAACTCGCGAAAAATAGATAAGGTACGAAATAAAAAATTTTTAACGTGGTAAAATTGATGGGGAATAGAAGAGTCGAGGTTGAGAGAAAATTGAAAATGCAGAATAATGAGAACAAGACGAAATTATAGTCGATAACATTTTCTAGAGACTTCGCTATCCCTCAAAAAGGAATTCCCGTAAATTAAACATAAATCGATACATATACAAACACACGTATATATGTTAAAAACGATTAATAATTAATTTAAATGGAAATTATTTTCGTGCAAAGTATGACATACACGCGACAAAATTTGATATAAAATCTCTCAAAATTGAATCACTCTCTCCCAAATATTTTTATCAACCTTTCTCTCGGTAATTTCATCCCCCAATTTCACCCCCTCCGAAAAGAAAAATTTCACACTGACACGGGAGATTCTGATTTTATTTAATTTTCCCTTTTCCTCCGTTTAGAATCGTGTATCATCGCAATCAACGATCTGCTGGAGCTTTTTTTCCCACGTCTCCCTCGTCCATGGCTGTTACGCAATGGAGGAAATCGCGAGGGAGTTTCCCGTTGTTGTTCCGCCGCTTTCGACCGGGCGAGCCGCTGCCAATTAAATCGGCCGAGCGGATTGTAACGCGATAGAGAAATTGAATTTTCGGCGAAACCAATAAAAGCGTCGTCGCCCGCTAATCGCTTCGCGTCCGTTTCCGCTATAGCAGCCGGTTAAAGAGCGATTCGGTCGCGATTGCAGCGCGATTAACGTTACCTGGGACGTGGCGCGATATTACGATGACAGGTAAACGGGGATAACAGGGCGGATTAATCGCGCGGAAAATCGATTTCGATCTACCGGCGAATAGCTTCTGGAACAGCCAGAAAATAGGTGAAGGAAAATAGGGTTGGTTGACTTATGTCTCGCGCCAAGCAGACCGAAGCGTTCATATTCCAAATTTTTTTCTCTCATTTTTCCTCTCCCTTTTCTCTTTTATACACGCGCGATAATGATTACCCGCGAGCTTAAAAGCGATAGTACAGCGTAGCCGGAAGTTTTATTTTGTACGCATTCCAGGTTTACTTTATGGTCCATACGATAGCGGTATTTATGATTTGCATTTATACTTGCTCGAGTTTATGTTGATTTATTCGCATTTGCCAGAGATATTACTTGCATACAATCTGAGCGTAAATGTAGAACGAAGAAGTTTTATTTTTTCCTATCATTTCTTTTGCTCCTCTCCGATTTTATTAAAATAGATTTCCAATTCTTCCTGGGACGATAAGTTAGAGATTAATTTAATTCAGTCGCAGAGGGATTTTTATTCCATCAGCGACACGAATGGTAATTTATTTAATACATTTATCGAGTATTTTATCGATTAAGGGAATATAGATATTTATATGGGTATTATCTTACGGTATATATGTAGAGATACTTTTGATTGGCAAATATAAGGAATAAAGGATGTTGTTTATTCTAATATATATTTATCACGAGCTAAAAGAGACTTAGGAGTAAGGTATAAACTAAAACACTAGATTAATAACTGATATGATTACGCAACGAACTCTTAACCCTTTGCACTCGAGAGGCAACCCTCAGTCGCCATTTAATACTAGAACTACCAACCTAGTGAAAATTACTGGTCCCATAATTTTCCTTTTATTACATACACCTGCTCTAAGCATAAAATTGGTATCAATTCGTATTAAGAAAGAACTGTAATCAATATATTCACTCATATTCATCGTACCGCTGAAATTACTATAATCTGTGTACGTTATAATTAGGTACCCATTAAAGATCGATAGTTTTAGTGTTAATCAAATTTTAAAGACCGATGATAATTAATATATCAAATTTAAATTTATCCAACGATGCGTGGAATGTCGAAGTAAAATAATTCTACGTCTTAATTTATATACGATTCCTCATTTACTGTTTTAAAAATATCGTCGATTTTATGGACGAATATATTCGAATTATTATTTTTCTGTAACGAAAAGATCGCCGACAGCCGAGTCAAGGCAGCCCTTGCATCCCTATTTAAACGTACTCTTTCCTACGCATGCTTTCGATGGGCCAGGTACTCCAAACACTCAGATGCATTCCTAACTTTAGCTCCTTGTTCGCAATCGATACAGTCATAAATATCCCGTTCATTCGATCCTTGCACGCGATCATTTGTCTTTCGTCTTGTACTCCAGACGTCATCACGAACATTCGACCTGAACCCTGGCCTGCTATTTATTGTCCATCGCCTAGCTAGGTATGCCCAAGTGTTCCCTTGCATTCACTCTCAAACCCTAGCATTCCTGAAATAGTACAGGGAAAAGATCTGTAATAAACGATACGAAGCCGAGTCTCGTCGCTCTCGTTTATCACCATTGGTTCCATTACACCATAACGCTGGAATCCCGCGAAAATGCACGTACGAAATACACGGGAAAATGGAATTATAATTTGCAAGTTAATAAACAGAGACTCTACGCGCGGAGAAATGCAGAAGTTATTGCAACGTAACTCACCATTACTGAGAGTAACAAGCCGTGCACTTGGAGCAAACTGACACCATGCTGTTCCGGACGTAAAACCACCCCTCTGTCTAATGAATTTAAATCCGGCCAATTCAAGCCGGTCATCGTTCTTCTTGGCTGACGGTTACCCTTATGAAATCGCGAAATGATAACTTATCATTTAATTACGCATTGTTTCACGTTGGAAAGACACTTTTGCTGCCGGCGTTAATGATGAACGACGCGTATGGAAATACACGCGGCACGCAAATGCGAGCTGGTTTATTACGATGGTAATAAATCTTTGTAAGATCGATTGATCGCGATAGCTAGGTAATGGCTTGAGTTTCGGGCTAAATCGAATGTTATGTCGCGTATTAAAGATTTCGATCGCATCTCGACTAATCTGTTCGTGATTCATCGATCCAGTTGACGGGTATCCAAAAATATCCCATTGCATCGTGAAACATGCCGTGAAGATTAATTTACGTTTCAGACGAATATGAAAATCTTGAAATAGAAAACTAAGATTGGAATTCTCGTAGATATTCCAAAATTCGAAGTTTCAAAATGTATTTAGATAAAAAAATTCCAGGAAAATATTTAAATATCATTAAGACTTCGTCGAGACTTCGAAATTGATAAATTCCTTCAAAATGTATGATTTTTTAAATAATTTATTCTTACGATATTTGAATTTTTCGAGATATCATAATAATTTTCCAGGATCTCGAGGACTAGCAGCACCATACGCAGTGATGGTGTACGTTCACGGTGAAAGTTTCGAATGGGGAACCGGGAACGTCTACGATGGATCCGTGTTGGCCAGTGCTGGCCACGTTATAGTGATCACGCTGAACTATCGTCTGGGAATATTAGGTAGGTATTACACGAGCAATGCAATTTACAATTTTCGACCTATCGATTGCAGGTAACCGAAAGATACACGGAAGAGCATGCAAAAAATATTCCAATTAATTTCTTCAATCGAATGCACACGAGCTGGAAAAAAGAACGCGTACCACTGTTCCTCGCTTTTTGTTCCACGGTGAATAAAATAAAAGAGAAGAAACGGGAAGCCCGTAAGTTGCTATGAGTAACGCTGGATGTAGAAGAAAACATGGAAATAAAACATGAACAAGGAACAAATAATTCAGCCCGACTGGATATATTCTTATTCTCCCAAAAGCTCGCTCGTTATTCATTTACCGCGTTAAACTCTGTCCAAACGTTACGAACACACGTGCACGCGTGTGCAGCAGATACACCAAGCCGTCGTATTATTTAACATTATAATTGCGCGCGTCGGACGCTCGCATAAATCCATCCGATCGAGGATTAATATTTTACGGCTCCTTTAATGTATTCGATTACAGTGCCCGTGGCTGTAGCAACGAGCTGATCCCACTGGTCCCCGCTTCTCTGCGATCCATTGACAATCGGATTTGCGACGCGACTTTATCGCGAAATTAAGCTGGGTAGAAAAATGGCTCCGATTTGAATTTTATAACCTGTATTTGAAGATGGAGGACGAGAGGGATGGAGTGAAAATATCAACACGTTTCCTTAGTAGGACTTTATTATATACGGGGGACCAGATGCGAAAAGCCGAAGGCTAGCTTTTTGGGAAAGACCCGTGTCTTTGGAGAGACGTAAACGAACGTTTTCATCGCTCATTAGGCATCGAGGTGGTCCGCGAGTCATGGGGCCCTGGTGGCAAAGACATAGACCAGGCCCCCATTGGCCCGGGACCCTCGATGTCTCGATGAAGACGAAAATATTTACGAGAAAACCTTCGTTTTCCGCATCTGGGATGTGTCCCTACATATTTTTGTCGAATATCTATTTTATTTTGTACCTAATCGATTTATAATTACGAGAGCGAGATAGAGAGAAGAGAGAGAGGAGTAATAGAATAAACGAAGGAATTATGAGCAGACGGTAGAAGTGGAGGAATGGCGGAAGGTATGAGCGAAAAATAAATTTAATAGAGTGAAAAATAGAATCGTCGTCGTTCGGCGTATTTCTTGGAGAAAAAGACACGCGCAAGTGGTGGAGTCAAGTATGGCTGGCCGTGTTCCAGGTTTCCTGAGGACTCGTCCGTATCCAGACAGAACGCCAGGATCCGGTGGGAACCTGGCCTTGAAGGATATCGCTATGGGACTGCGCTGGATACGCGAAAATATCGCTGCTTTTGGGGGCGATCCGACAAATATCACGTTGATTGGACACGATACCGGCGCTGCTCTGGTGAATCTCCTGCTGCTTGCTCCTTATGGCAAGGGTAAGTGATCTCGCTTCTATTTCGCGTAATCGCTGTGACAGTTATGCAGGGGAACACGTAACAGACACGTAGAGCGTATTTCAGGTTGTACATAAGGAGAAGACTGATAGGGGACCAAAGTTTATTTCAAATGGACAAATAAATAGGATAAATCGAATTTAAATCTATTCATCGACCCAATCGTCGAAAGACGATTTAAAAACCTATAAATTATCTGGAAAGCAACGCTATCTTAGTTTTTAATGCGTCTAGGGACATTCTAGGGGATTTTAGTACACGTATGTAGAATCGTAAATGAAACACTTGTTCTCTACGACCATATTTTATTCTTATTTTTTAATCGTGGTCACAGCTTAGACTTCGCTGAAACTTTTATTTCCGTGTACCATACGTAATTTAAGAAGTAGTTAGACGTGTCCGGCTTTTAGTCGGGAAAGTCCGAGGATTTACTACTCTTTGTCCTAGATCCGTGATTTTATAAGTGGTAGCTCTACTCGGAATCTCGTACAGAATCTAATGTAACTACCGAATTATTTATTTCTTTCGCTTTTTCAATTTTGTATCGATTTTATCGTCGAATTCCGATTCGTCGCGAATTAATTTTTATTAATTTGAAATTAACTTGAAAATTTATTAACTAATTTTTATTTAGTTGAATAGTGATTTGCCAGTACTTCGAAGGTTTTTCTTACCTCGGTATGCTTTTTAAAAAGAAATAGACGTCTCTGGATCCTCGTCTCTACGAAAAGACCTCATTTTCTTCACGCCTGAGGGACACACCATGCAAAACAGGGGAACAGTGATACTTATCTAACGGCCTGAATCGCGACAAGCGATAAACGTGTCCCAAAAAGTGTACTTACTCCGTTGTATCATCGATGACAAATTACAAGGATAGGAGGGCAGCCATGATGACGAAGGACCATACACTAACAAGCGGCATGGTTCAAAATCGATTCGGAATAGAGCTGAAATATCGCGTGTCGGTCGCGATTAGAGAGGATCCTGACACAGACGATGTATAGGATAGACATATCACCTGATATATTTTTGAACCGCGTTTCGCGGGCTCTGAGTCCTTTTACAATTTCGGTGTCATTTCCAACTGTATCGATTCGGCATAAAATAAAAATAAGATTCGTAACCATAAATTCAAGTTTGAAGCAAATGCTTCACTCTCAGCTTGACATATCTCCCCGCAGAAAAATCTTTGAAGAACTAGGATAATTCTCAGATTTTACGTGAAATCAACCAACCATTGTACGAATGAAATTCATGATAAATTCTATGGGAATAAAATTCGTTGTTCTTATTAAGACGTAATTCATGTTATAAAGGTAGGGATATTTTTTCTCAACGATTTGGTAATATTTTTCAATCTATTTCACGAGTTACGTATAGCTCCTATACTCGCCCCCATAAATTATCAAAAATGGAGATTTTTGGCCACCTGATAGTCGATAGATTAATCGGTAGGAGATTAGTCCGGCAAACCCGATAGAACCGACAATCGAGGTTGTACGACATCTCGCGAGGTAAAAATAAAAAGAAGAGAAAAATCGTGCGTATCGATCTCGCATGGATGATGACAAATCGCGTGGCTTCGTTTTATTTCTCGAGCATCGAAAATGTATTTTTTATTAAGCCACCATTGTGTCAGATTGGACGTCCCATTTTTATTTTACTTTCCCTGGGATTTCTATTCTCGTAGTTTGGTTCATGAAACCCAAGTTTTTGAATTTCTTTTACATTTAGTACATTTAAGAACCCAACAGTGGATGAAAGAAATAATTGACAATTTGCGGAAAATCATGGAAAAACGTAGCATTTCGAATCCATAAAAAGATTACTCGATTTTTGGAATTAATTTCATATTTTTGATTTAATTTATTATTACCGAGGAATCTTTCCAATTTTAACTTATTTTTTTAGAACTTCATTTCTTCGTACGAAATGCTGGAGAATATTTGGATAGCCAGCAGTTGGTTCTTATTAAAATTACGTTACTGACAATTGTGCGATGTTGAAGACTTCTGGAAATGAGACCAGGGAATAACGACGGAAACAACCGTCTGGTTCTAAGAAAAATACATACGTAACGTGGACTGGAGTGCAACGTAAATATTCGGAGTGTATGATATTATTACACAAGCCAGTGCAACGCGTAGGAACATTAATTATACTTTCAAGCTACGCCGGTGCGCAAAGTAAAGCACTCTTAGTTGCTAATCAACGAATAATTACAATAACGAAGCATCGCGTAAGTATACTCGTACTATTCCCTGCTGTTCGAGATATCTTTCGTATTTCTTAAGTCGCCAGAGTATTGGCTATTCCTCTTAAATTCTTATTAATATTAAGATACACTGCAGATCGATTTCTTCTCGAGCCTTTTAAAGTACTCTCCACCTCGATGAAATAGGACTTGAAAAGATTTCCACGCTCAGCGATTCCGGCACGGAGAAATTTTGAAGAATATTCTTAAATCGAAGAAGGATCTTTCAAGAAAGGAAATATTCCAACAAGAAAAGGTGCAACACAAAGACAGCGAAACGGAATTCTACCGATAAAAAGAAGCAATGCTACAGCATCTATACCATCGCAGCAATCGACGTCATAATCCGCGAATAAATATGATCCATAAATTCTTAAAATTTCCTACCATGGGTTTAATAATACGTACAGCAACAAAAATTCGAGAAATGATTTTAGTTTACTCGCAATCGGTGGAACCAAGCACGCTATTGCACGTTCCGCGATACATTAACTTCAGCCACGAAATCCAGCGGGAAGGATCACGAAATTTAAAGCCAAAATCCAGCCAGTAGATAGCGTGGAGTGTACACTTGAAAACGCATTTTGTTACAAGCCGATATCCGAATCGGTTCTCGAGATACGAGGTTTTAAACGGGAGCGTGTCGAGTGCGCGGAATGTTGAATGGCGGTCGAAATTCCGTGACCCATTTCTTTTCCTGGAAATGCGTACGTTGCTAGTAGTAGTAGTAGAAAAAGCGCTGACTCGGTCGCTGTCACTGACCATCGCACGCGTGCCAGACTTGGGACAGGCTCGCGAAGAAGTGCGAGCGAGCAGGACAGCGATAGCGAAAGCTCAAAAATGATGGTTTCTTCCGAACCACGAAAGCTCTAAATCGCATCGACTTGAAATAAAAAGCTCTTTAAACCGATTTTCGTTTCTAAAATTAAAAAGAAAAGGTTGATACATCGATAAAAAATTTGTCATTATTTAAATAGTTATTTTAATAGGTATTTGAATAGTTATATGAAAATAAGAGCAAAGTAGTTTTAATAGTCATTAAACCGACGCTGACTAAATATCCCGTTAATAAATGCCTAGTGCATAAAACTATACACAAAAATATTTTATTATATAACATCTTATTCAAGAGAAAAGTGGGAAAATTTGTGAGGAAAACTACATCAGTAACTCTTTTCACGCGGTGCTTTTTTAGCGCGTTTTACTCGCTTTTGTTACACTTTTTAACAGGACTTGTCTAATTAAGCGATTTTTTTAACAGGTTTCATTCATACTTACTCAATTCTTTTAACACACACTTCGCCTATTTTCATTTCCAAACAGAGGGAAACGCGGAACGTTAAAAAGTCCTGTTACCGAGTATAAGTCTGCGTTTTAAATTGCTTTCTCTATTGTTTACTTTGAAACGCACGTTCTAAACTCCGTTACGAATCGCTTGTTCCCTGACTTTTTACACGGAGTACGACCATCGTGTAAAGAGTGTCGAGTAGTATTAAATCGCATAACGAATCTGAAACATCTCTTTGATGTTCAACAACGCGCAACGTCCGTAACAAACGTCCGTAACAAACGTCCGTAACTCGTTGCGCTGAGAAAAGGCGAAAATCGAAAAAAGGAAAATGATACATCCATTGAAGAAAACCGCTGGAAACGGCATGGAGAACGCGAACTGAAAGGAGCGTTTCTCAGCCTCGAAACGGACCGTAATTTCCTGGATCTTTCCCGAAATTCCGGGCTGGAAATCACGAGGGGGCGCGAAGGGGTACGAGCCAGGAGCGTAAAAGTCGAGAAGCTTCAGTTTGTTCCTCGATTTGCAGCATCGAGATCGGTCGAGTGCATTGTAGCAGCGTTTCCACGACGCATCGGAAAGACCTCGTTCCCTCCTTTTATTCGCCGGAAGTCGCTCGTTGCTGGCGTATCGGGGTCGAAAAAGGAGAAACGGGAGGAAGGGGGCGGAAGAGAAGAGCGAAGGAGACGGCCCTGGGAACGCGGGAAAGCTGTTTTCGCCGTTTCCTGCAGCTTCAGAAACGGAGACAGCATGTTACCGGGACTGTAAAGAGCAGGCCGAAGATGTAAACTGTTTGGTAACATTTCCGGTGCAACCGGAACCGGCCTGGAAATGGCCAAGCAGCGGGGTCCTGTTCAGACAGCCGCAAGCATTCGAAGCAACTCTCCCTCGTCTCTGTCCTGTCTGTTTGTTTTATCCCTTTCCGACCGGCGTCTGCTCCTCTGAACACGAGAACGCTTCGTCCAGCGCCGGGGTTCAAGCATGCCTCGCTTTGTTGCTCCGTGTATAATGACCGTTTGTATCGATGAAGGAATGCGCTTCTGAACGCGCGCGCGCGGGCTCCAAGGTGCACCTGGAATTTGCATAACGGGCTTCTTTCGCGAAGTGGGTTTTTACGGAAGTTTCTGTACCTCGTTGTATCCCGTGCAGGTCGTTTGGTATGGGTTTCGGTTGTACGAGGACTGCTTGTATGCTTGGAATTAAAAAGCCACGTCGCGCGTTTAATATTCTTTATTACGCTCTCGTCGCAGTGTCGTATGTAGATTTTACGTTCCTTGCAGAAATTTCTATGGGCATTCGTTCAATGCTTTCTTCAATTTTCGTTATTCCAGTTGTAGTACCTCGCATTACGACTATGCAATTTTTAAAATTCATTATGGCTCTATACGAATGACAAAATAGAAACGTGCATAGGGTAAAAGCGGACACCAGAAGAAT